CACCAGGCTGTGTTCCTTCTATTGGACATACCCAGGGCACCTGTCAGATGTGGACTGTGTTAGATTCCACCCTAACTCTAACTACTTAGGCACAGGGTCGACTGACAAGATGTCCTGCTGTGGAGCGCCAAGCAGGGGAACTCAGTGAGGCTTTTCACAGGCCACCATGGCCCTGTGCTCTCTGGCTTTCTCTCCCAATGGGAAGTACTTGGCATCTGCTGGCGAGGACCATCAGTTAAAACTGTGGGACCTGTTCTCCAGGACCTTTTTTTAATGAGCTGAGAGGCCACACAGCCAGCATCACCAACCTCGCCTTCAGCCCTGACAGTGGCCTAGTGGCCTTTGCCTTCATGGACAATTCAGTGCACAACTGGGACTTCTGGAACACATACTGTAGCATACCTGCAGATGGCTTCTGCAGTGAGCTCATGGGTGTCTACACTGGGCAGATGAGCAGTGTCCTGAGCGTGCAGTTCATGGCCTGCAACCTGCTTCTTGTGACCAGGATCACACAGGAGAATCAGGAACATTGTTTCTTACCTTGACTGGAATGGACTGGGCTCTAGTGAGAGGCATCTGGCTATAGCATAGATATGGAAATGGTGAGCAAAATTTCTGACAGACTGTAAAAGAGCCCTCCCCTGATGCAGCGTCATTGTCATGGGACTCAGTCAGGGCTGGAGCATGGCTCAGTGCTTTCTCGAATTGAGGTGAGCACTGGGATGCTCTGAGGTCAGTGGCACATTCCCAGAGAACCCTTGGGACTCTGTGCAAGCACCTTCTCATTTGCGTCTTGTCCTTCTATGCTTACTAAGGGCAGTTGCCAAGTGCTCTCCACAGCACCCCTAGACACACTCAATTGGCCCACCCTTGAGGAGGAAATGGGCCCAGAACTGGAAAAGGGAGGGATAATTCTTTTCCTGAATGGTAGAACCAGGATTTTTTATTATTGTTATTATTATGATAATTATTGCAAAGAGGAAACCTAGTAGTGGCAGAGGGGAGCATCTCTCTTTTTATCTTCAGGTTTGACTCCTGGCACTGGCTGTGATACTTGGAATTCAGGGAATTCAGAGATTTTGGTGGCACAGGGTATCAGGAGAAAGGGAAATCTTGGGTGCATATTGAGCACACCAAAAAGCATGTTTATGGAAGTCGATGGGTGGGTTGACTGAGAACACTGGGCTCTTGCAGTATGGTGGAAAAGATTCTTTCTTGGCTGCACTTCTATCAATAATTCTCTTCCCTGAAAAGAAAGATTATGGTAGGAGGGGTGCAGCTTAGTGCTAGTGCATTTGCCTAGCATGTGGGAGGCCCTGGGTTTAATCCCCAGTGCCACTAAAAAGAAAGAAAAGAAAAAAAAAAGATTATGGTAGAGAATAATTTGAAGGGCTGGGAATATGTAGCTTAGTGACACAGCATCTGCCTGACATGCACAAGTTCAATTCCCAGTACCAAAAAAAAAAAAAAAAAAAAAAAATTTGGAATA